ATCAGGACCCGAGACTGCGCAGCAGACGTGTCCGTCGTATGGCTAAGATTAACCGAAGACAGTCGGTCCCTGCTCAGTCTGCTCAGATGGCGCAGCAAGGCCCTGTTGGCCCAGCTGGTCCTCCTGGTCCGGGCATGAGTGCTATGCCAGCTCCTGTTCCCCGCCCGAACTTGGGTCCCATGTCGATGGGTCCGCCGCAGATGCATCACCATCATCAACCTGATGGTAGTCCTAATGAGGAAGTTAGCGGTATGTTTCACCATGTGTGATATGCTTTTGTGCTTTGTTCCGTCGATGTTTTTCTTTTCTTTTTCCTTTTATTTTCTATTCAAAGAGCGGCGGGATCACTCATGTATTTTCTTCTCCCTGGGGCTTTTTATTTTGTTGGACCGGATCTATGTCTTGTGTGTATGTGTATATGTGGGAGTTTTGATTCTTGTCTGGTCCGATCCGTGTGTGTATGTGTGTATGAGGATGTGTCAACGGTTGTATGAGATGTGTACTCTTCTCTCTCTTGTATCCCTACCTGGTCCGCAGTGTGTGTTCTTATCTGTTTTATTCCATACCCTGTTCAACTTCACTGCTTTGTCGTCTTTTTATCATTTGACACCGCGCTTCTTGTGCTTTGGCTCTTCTCTCCTTGGAACTGAACCTCCTTTCCCCGACATGTCAGACGTGCAGTTGTACAGCGTAGGCTAATTCTTCCCCCTTTCCCATAGGCACAGAATACCCGGGCCACCGAAGCATGGACACACGCCTACCACAGCCCTCAATCCCCGACCTGCGCCCCGCCCACATCTTCCATGATGCCCCAACAACTCTAACCACAGGTGGCAGTGCCAGCGGCCCGTCCATGCCCCCCCTCCTCCGCGACAACAGTCTCACCTCACTAAGCCGCCACACAATCGCAACCTCTGCGCGCATGGACTCAACCGACCACGACATCGACGAGAAAGGCCCAACAAACGACGACCTCTTCAGTCATCTCCCAGACGGCAAACGCCGCAAATTCATCCTAGTCGACGACCCACAGCGCGGCTGTCGCGTTCGCGTCAAAGTTGTCCTCGACAAGGTCAACATGGACGAGATCCCGGACTCGTACCGCGAGTCCAACGCCGTCTATCCGCGCACCTACTTCCCCATCCAGATGCGCGATGAGAACCGCGTCGTCCCGGCTAAGCGGTTCTTCCGCGATGACGCCGAGCAGGCGGACGATCCCGAAGCGTCGACTATCGGCCGTACGACTGTTCCAGCGCCATCGCTTGACGGCGAGAGTGAAATTGCGGTGCCGAAGATCTCTCGCAGAAAACACCGTAAGGAGTTGATGCTTAATGATCTCGGCTACCGTATGAGCTGGAGCCAGAGCCGTGTGTTTGCGGGACGGATGTTATTTTTGCAGCGATCGTGTAAGTGGTTTTGTTTTTGTTTTTTTATTTTTCTTGTTTTCGTATATTACCTTTTTTGGTTTATTTTGTCTCACCCGAACCCATCGACACGTTCGACACGTGCCCATGGAACGATCTGACTGCGGCTGAGACATGCGAGACGCTAACCGTTTGCGAATAGTGGATGCTTACCGCGATAAAATGCGAAGCAGTATGCTCGCTGCAGGCCAGGAGGCGGGAGACATACCCGATCATTTTGATACTCGTCGTGGTAAGCGACGGTTCCTGGAGCGCGGGCGTCGTCTGGAATCTGGTGAGAGTGCTGCGCAGCGAAGTGCGGAGGAGGTTGAAGGTTGAGGAATAATTTTCTTTCTTTTTTTCCTGATATTTACTGCTTTTTTCTACTTTGTGTCTTTTTGGGGGGGATCTGATTATATCGTTTTCGGTCGAGGTATGCGAGGGCGTTGATGGTTTGCGGAAAAAAACATGAAAATTCCAAAGACAGCAAAAAAGGGGGGATACGATTGATATGATCGGGGATATGCCTCAGATGATACCACGACTTTCATTTAACGTCGAATGAGATATATGAATGTGTTTATATAGAGGAATTGAAGTTGACAGTTGGAGTTGACAGAAAACAGTGTCTCGTTAATATTATAGTGTGTCGATGCCGTGCAGATAAAAATAGCAACGCAAGGGACACGAATCCACTGTCCACATGGGACCCTGGAAGACCCTGGAAAAGACCCTGGAATGTTGAAATTATAATACAATAATAGAATTGGATTCGAAAATATAAGATACTACATATGTATCCATGGGTGTTGGTGATTTGGTGATTTACAACATATGTTGCAGTAAAGGTGTCCCGTTGCCCGGCCACGCCTTATTTATCCTAACCCATGTCGTCCTCGGCTGCTCACTTTCGATCTCTTTATTGTCTCCTCTAAGAGGATTCGAGTGCTTTGTCTCAGAGTGAATTCCGTGGATTCCTGCATTCAATCTAAACCTCTGCCTTGGCACCTTCCCTGCATTTTTCTCCGTTCGCGGGTCCAACTCTCTCAACCTCCAAAGTCCTTTATTATTCAAAGGGCTACACCGGACACCCGGACACCTCAAATCCCTTCATAACAACGACATGGACATTCCACCACCTCCAACCCATCGTTATTCACACGGATCCCGCGAACACAACACCATCACACCAGGCATGGACAATCTCGGTCCCAGCTCACCGGGCGGTGGAATCAGTGGAATCGCCCTAGGAATCGCCAATACACACAGTCGCCAGAGCGGGATCGAAGCATCTCACGGCGTAAACGACGGATACACCGGCCCCGCCGAGCGCGACTATAACACAACCGGCTCCGACACGCCCTACGTACCCTCGGCAGGCTACACCAGCGGCGACTCATTTCGTCCCGAACACTCCCACGCATTGAACATGGCGAGGGGCGGTGCGCTCGCTTCGCCCCCAATGCAGACTCCCAGTCAGTCCTCATCACATCTGAGCGATCCCGCACACAGCACATACCAATACCCCGCGCCGTATTCCGGTCTTACTGATGGGCCTTATCAGCGACACTCGGCGTACAGTAATGGCGAGATATCGAATATTAACCCCGACGACATCGCCGATGATGGGGATGAGGACTTCGGTCCACCGCGCAATCGAGCTGCGCCTGCTGCGGCGGGCGCGACTGGTGGCGCCGCTGCTGGTGGCATCCTGACAGGTCTCTTTGGTCGCGAGAAGAATGCTGATGTTGCTTATAACTCGGTTCCCGGTGGTTTAGAGACCGGCGAGGGATCCTCGGGGAGATCACCAAGTAATGGAGTGGACGGGCGCAAGAAGATGGGCTGGATTGTCGGTCTTGTTCTTGGGTTCGTGATTCTGGGTGCCATCATTGGTGGCGCGGTGGGAGGTACAATTGGGAACCGACATCACCAGAACAAGTCGAAGACTGCCAGTGCGGAAACCGCTTCGGGTGATGCGGAGACTAATGGGGACCTCGACAAGGATTCCTCGGAGATTAAGGCCTTGATGGGTAACAAGGATCTCCACAAGGTCTTCCCTGGAATGGACTACACGCCGTGGGGCGTGCAGTACCCGGACTGTTTGAAGTGGCCTCCGTCGCAGAATAATGTCACCCGTGACATGGCTGTCCTGTCGCAGTTGACCAATACGGTGCGTCTCTATGGTACGGACTGCAATCAGACTGAAATGGTTCTTCATGCGATCGATCGTCTCGAGCTGAAGGATATTAAACTTTGGCTCGGCGTATGGATTGACTCCAACACCACCTCTACCGAACGGCAGATCAAGCAACTCTACAGGATCCTGGATGACACCAAGGACACATCCATCTATAAGGGTATCATTGTCGGCAACGAAGCCCTCTTCCGCGCCGGCGCTAGCAAGCAGTCTGCCCAGACGACCTTGATCTCTTACATCAAAGACGTCACGAAAGAGGTCAAGAAGCGCAACCTAGATCTATCGATTGCGACCTCCGACCTCGGCGATAACTGGAATGCGCAGTTAGTCGATGAAGTGGATGTTGTCATGTCCAACGTTCACCCCTTCTTCGCCGGTGTCAGCGTCGACGTTGCTGTGGCGTGGACATGGAATTTCTGGCAGACCCATGACGTCTACTTGACCCAGGGCACCAGCAAGAAGCAGATCATCTCAGAGGTCGGATGGCCCAGTGGCGGAGGCAAGGACTGCGGTGACAGCAAGGTCTGTGACGAGAACACGCCTGGTTCTGTCGCCAGTGTCGATAACATGAACACTTTCATGGCTGACTGGATCTGCCCGGCGCTCGAAAATGGAACGGATTATTTCTGGTATGCCTTGTCTACTGTCTATTAACCGGTTTATTCAGATCACTAACGCTCTCTACAGGTTCGAGGCCTTCGACGAACCATGGAAAATCCAGTTCAACACGCCTGGGAAGGAATGGGAGGACAAATGGGGTCTGATGGATTCGGCACGCAAGCTGAAGAAGGGTCTCAAGATCCCAGACTGCGGCGGCAAGACGGCCTCGTAATATGCTACCGGATCCAGCCGTGCCTCTCTTATGGAATTCATGATCATGAAATTTTGTCTTATCTGCATAAGTATTGTGTTCTTAGTCTTGATTGCTTTTCTGCACTGGCGTTCGTGTTTCCTTCTCTGATACCATTCATCACAACGGAACCCCCGAAGTTCTCCCCTCTCATCCTCATAACCTTCTGTCGGATTTACGCCTCTTCCATTTCGATTCAAAATCTCGGGGGTTCTCTGCCTGGCGGTCCATCATCTTTCCTGTCCTTTTTTCTTCATGCAGTCCTTACCCATTGTTGCTCGTCTTCGAGCCATGCATGATTTACCTTGCATATCTTCCTTGGTTTTGTTTATTCCTTCCTCTTCGTAAATGAGGAGGGTCTTCAATGCCCGTTTCGCGGTGGGAATTTATCTTCATGGGATATTCACTGGGATCGTTGGCGCTTGTGTTTTGCCTTCCGTAGCTATACTATATACTAGCTATCCTCAGCCTTTACGTACATAATGGGTCAATCCATCAATTTTCAGTTTGCCTAGAAATACCTATAAGAACTACATATGTACATGTATCATATGTATGCACTCGATTCTTTCACTGGCCGTTATTATTTGTTATCCTCAAGCAAGCCCTCCGGTGTTATTGTACAAAGCATACATAAGTAATGTGCAAGGTGGGGGATACAGACTGAGGGTAGTGATTGCCCATGGCTCCAGTATCTCATGCATACCGCTGAAACCCTCAGCAGCCAGATAGGCGAGACCGGCTCGCCTTAGCCGTGACGAGGTTGTTATGCATCGCGGACATTGTGTCACGGGCGTTTGTGATCTTGAATCCCTTCGGGAAGCGCTGCTGGGCCAGCGCCATGTCGTCCTCGTGGCCGGGATAGTGCGACTGTGTCCCTCGCGACAACGACTAGCGGTAGGCCATGTGTGGTGCGCGTAGCGCGGATCATAAGCATGATCATTGTGTTCGATTCCGATTCCCGGCCAAATTCTCGAGTCGTTCCCTGATCGTCGAGCGGCTGCAGTTCAAACACGTTCGGTTGAACAAGACAACAATGCGAGTGGAACCATGAATAGAACTGGAACCTTGAAGAAACAAACAGAGAGCTATCTTTGTGGAAAAGGGCCAAAAACTATGCCCAGCTCCTCATAGGTCAATGGAGACCCCAGGAAGGTACAGTCCGTATCCACAGAGGCCGCAGGGAGGAATGTGGTCCTGGGCCGCGACATGCTTCGTGCCATTAGACTCGGACCGAGGCCCCAATCTAGTCTCAGACTAACCTGGACCGCAGCAAAGGTCCAATGCCCAGAGGACGGGAGACTGAACGTCGGGAACCACGGAGTGCAATGTGGGCCCGGAGAGTGTTGAGGAGGGGAGAAAGAAAGAAGGAGGAAAGTGGGAGGGGGAAGGTATTTATACCTTACCAGTGGCTGAAGACGAGGAAGGAACTGGGGTGGGCGACGAGTTTTGACAAAAAGGGAAGGCATCTGATTGGGGACATGGGTACTTCAACATTGGAAGTTGTATATAGGAAAGATCATGATATTTGACTCGATCTCAAGCACTACAACGCCAGCCCCATGCGTACCTAACCAAGTTTATAACTCCATGCATCTCTAATAAACCAAAATACCAAAAAGTTGTATATAGATATCACTCCGTACCCACCACTTCCTCCACCCAATAGAGCCTCATATTCCAAAAAGCATGCTCAAGTGCTTCAAACACCGGGAAACAATATGACCCAGCCCCATCCACATAACATTGTAGTACACCACCAGCGTCTGCATGCTCAAGCGGGCCACCAAACAACAGCTGCGGCTTCGACGGCAGCAGCAATTCAAGGTGTTTGCGTTCCGCGCCGGGGCAGAAGAGCATCGTGTTCGCTGTGATGTATGAGAAGGCCTCTGGGTGTTTGATGACTGTTATATTCAGGGCTGCGAGGAGGGATTCGTCTAGTGCGTTGAAAACAGGGTCTTGGGCGTAGACTTTGAGATTGGAAGAAGTCGTGCCTGCAAGCCGAGCGTGTGGTTAGCATTGGAATATATTGGGTATGCGATACTCGGAAGTAAAGAAGATTAGAAGTGGATCCAATATATATCCAAAGACGAAACCGAAAGCAAGAAGACCAAATCCAAAAAGACCGGGAAACGAACAAGCAACTTGATCTTTAATGCTCGCCAGCGCAGCAAGCTGATAGAGCGACACAGAGCGCCGATCAACCCATCCATCACGCAAGAACCCACTCGGGCTCCCAAGTCCAATGCAGACAATGGCGTCGACGGGGCAGCGGGCCGGGGCGGAAGGAGTAGCATCAGAAGAAGCTTGTTCCTGCGCCTTCCTCAGTCGTTCATCCAAAACGCCTGTCAGCTTAGTCCAACTTTCCGAGCCCTCCCACCTCTCACGATGAGTTTGGAACTGTGTCTGCAGCTCGGACAGCGTGAGTCGACCCGGTGCCTCTGCGGGGGTCAAGGTGGGTTCTTCGGGCTGGTCAGAGGATATCCCGGACTCCGATTCCTTGATTGTAGTTGTGCCTCGCGGACGTGCGCGCATTACGCGCCGCACGTTGCCGCCGCTCGCGACATGGGTCCAGCCATCGTCGTCGGTCACTTGTGTTCGTTTTTGAGTTGGTCGTTTTGGGCGGGAGGTACGGGATGTGTGGGGCATATTTTATATATGTATAATTATATAAATATAGTAGATTATTGATGTATTGGGATTCGCATATGTACTGGATTTATTGAAGCTTTTTTTTTTGGAGA